CAAGTGTTGCGATACATCTATTTGTTAACAGCATTTTTCTCATAAGAAATTAGCTTATTTTGTTTGTGTTAAATCATGTTAATAATGAATATTTTCAGTCAATTTCGCATTAAAAAACATGAATATGTGTAACTGTAAATATAAGAACAGTGGAAGTTCAGATTTTCAAGAAGGGGGCAGTGTGACGAATTTTGATTGGATATATAGACTTTTTAGGACTGTATAGATTTATAGGAGGTAAAGGTTTATTTGGACTAAGATGAATAGCTTTTACCTATATAAAGAGATGTTATGATCAGTATTAGTGGAGTAGTGTGTTTGAGTTCATTCAGTTAAGATGTTATTTTGTTTGTTGTAATTGTATGGAATACTTGATATTTGGTGGAATAATATATTTATTTTACACAGAAGAGTTATTATTTATTGAGTTCTAATATATCATCGCCCAGAGAACCACAAAGCGTTACATTATTATTATTGTTTTTATTATTATTATTATTTTAATTATTTATCATTATCATTTTTATTATAATTATTATTCTTATTATTATTATTATTATTGTGGAGTTTTTTTTGTACGCAGACAATGTGCGTTAACAAGGGAAATAACCTATCATGCGCACTGCTTACTTTAGCAGTTTGAGTTAACTTTCTTAAAAGCTGAAGCAGATTAATTTCGTTTAAAATAATAAATTGTGATTAGCTTAATTTTTAAAAATCATTTTTTTTAATTACTGCTTACCCTTGAATAGTACAGTACTCAGCATTGACCTTGGTGTAACGCTTGTCCCGATCTATGACGTCCTTGACTTGCAGTCAACGTTGGTCTCCAACCAGTACTCAGCATTGACCTTGGTGTAACGCCTGTCCCGATCTATGACGTCCTTGACTTCCTTAATTGACGCCGCAGTCAACGTTGACTTTCTCCCACGACCCTTGTCATCTTCACTGTTCTCTCGGCCGTCTCGAAAACGCTTATGCCTCTTGAAAACGAGTGATCGACAAACAGGAGGTCTCACTTTTGCAGTCTCCAACATTTCCTGCGTCTGTGTTGGCGTCTTCCCAAGATTAACACAAAACTTGATGATAGTCCGATGTTCCGCGTAATCCGTGGACGTTATTTTTTAGTTAAATATCAAAGAGCAACGGTTGTCAGTTGTCCGCTTGTAAACAATAACGGAAACATTTATGAAGTCAAAATTTCAAACGAACGTTCATATGACGTCACTGTATACGCTTACGACGTCGCACCATTTTTTACGTATAAATACGCAAGATATACGAAAGTTAAGACAACTTATTGATACAAAATATTGGACTGCCCCGCCCTGTGCAAACTGCATTACTATAGTGACGTAAAATATAGAGAAGCAATGTTAGAAATTTAAAAATAATGGTCATACTCATTAAGGACATGTTAAGGTATTGTGTACAAATTTGCTAAAGAATGCATTAAAAAATAAAATAAGTTATAGCTAAAGTCCACGTAATTCTGGGACACCCCTCGTACCTATTCTTGGATAAAATACTAACAAATAATACTGTACACACAATATTTGATTTTTTTATAGCTTCGCCCATGCTACCTGAATTGTCTATTCATAAAGTATAGACTGCTTCGGAGAAAATGTACGTAGTATCTTCATTTTTCTAGAGGGTACGCAGTATCATAATGTCTATTTTCTATTAAAGTGAGTTTTAAGTCAAAAGGAAAAAGAGAAAAAGATTAAATACATGTATATATTTTTGAAATAGATTCTTCAATAAACTAACTTCCAGTCGCCTAGAACTTTCAGTTTAATCGACGATCATTCAATATCTGTTACATTTCAACGCCGGGTGAACGCAGTATCCTGGATCAAAATTGCATTCAACGCAAATGGAAGAGTTGTGTCAAGGCATTTGGAACACTAAAACTAGAAGTTTGGGGATCTTCTTTGCAAAATAAATTCAATTCCAATCTATTCTTACTGTTTTACATGACTCATTTTTATTAAAAAAAACCGGGTGATGAAGTGTTCGTGGTATCAGAATTTTGAGGTTGCGCGCGCTTCATATGACCCCTTTGATTTTAGTGAATAGCCTGTCCGTGCTCTGCCTTGCGCCCTGCCCTGTTTTTGTTTGCGGTCTTCCTTGCCACTGGTTCTTGTTGTTTTGCGTTCATTGAATGCCGCCTGTCCTTGTTGATCTTGTTTATCATATTTTAACCTACTAGGTAGTTTCATTATTCCTACTTGAATACTGTTTAATCAAGATATATTGCCTGCTTTATAAATTTATCTTTTGATGTCTGTTGAAATATGCAGGCTTTTGTGTCATCTCTAGGGATTCCGTTTCCTCTATTTCATAATCTCAGGTCGCCTTTCAAATTCCATTTAATGTTGATCCGCCCATTGTTTTATCGTTTAGGACACATGCATTATGTTTTCTTGGGGACCGTATGCAGCTTTCAGTTTAAACAATATTGATTTATAATGTATAAATGTACATTATAACGTATATAAAATGAAATTTACGGACTGACTAAGTAGCTTGAAAAGCTGTTTTGAAACTTCCTCCGTAATCAGTATTTAACAAATTTAAAGAAATGAACTAAATTTAAGATCCATTACTGTTCCATTTGAGGTATAAACACGAGTAAGAATTCATTTTTGAAGGAGGAAATTTCTTAGTTTAGTGCTTGATCTATTTATCTAGTTTGTTGAGAAAATTTAATGATTAAAACATGCGCATTGGAGAGCAAAGAAGAAGATCTCGGGGAAAAAGAGAAAGAAAGAAAGTCACTTTACTACTATGGACCTTCCATTTTTAAACGGATATCATTATGTATCAAATCTTTATTTTGTATGTATTTATGTATATGTGAGACAATTGTTTCATTTAGAGCATATGTAAGTGAATTATCGTCGTATAGTAAAGTATTTAATGTAACAGTTGTGGTTTGACTTAAATTGTTTGAAAGGACAGGCTGGTCATCTTGATACATGGGACAGTAGAAGAAGTAGTCTTCTGTATTATCGATTTCACCACATATACAAAAGGGCTTTCTCTTATTTTTGTTTTTGAAAACAGATGTTCTTTCAGAGAGCTGCAATGTGTTCTTAATCGTGTATGTATTATTTGATATCTTCTTTCATCTACATAGTAGTGAGCATGGACTTTTTTGACATCATCACTGGGTCTTTTTTTTTTTGAAAATTGCAAGTGATTGTGCATTTCTTAGTTTGACTTGGAGATTGCTTCAGTTTTTTATCAAAGATGGTAAAAATGAATTTGAATAGAGTTGAGTTTTTGACAGAAAAATATACAGTTGTAGTTGTATACTGTAGTTTGTCGTAGTACTATGTTGGGAACCACGGAAGAGAGAGGTGATTGAACATTTTATATAGCAGAATTAGTTTGTGTTTGAAGCGTCTTTCCTTTAAGTTTTGTAAACAAATATCTAAATAAAGATTTGAGAACGAGAAATTTTCGTTATACCACTTATGATTCTGCAGGCTTCAAGTTGGAAGTTTTCTTACCCGAATTCATCTTCTTGAGCTATTATCCCAGATTACATATGAGTATTCAGCAAGAGGCCGGATAACAGAAAGATATTTAGTTTCGAGTTACCTGCGATTGGTGGTGAATTTAAAGTCCTCATAATATTAAGTCGTTGTCATGTCTTTTGTGATATATTCAGTATGTGGGTATGCCAGCTTCCTGCAGATGAAAAAGTTACTCCAAGATGTTGTGAGAGGTCACCTCATTTATTTGTTTGCAGCTTTTCATGGAATGGCACTAACGTGTTACATTGTATTACCATGTTTAAATGTTGAACGCTGCTTAAGCCGGGGCTAGAGTACGCGGACGGTAACTTGCACTTTCCAATACAGTCAATGAACAGGCTCAATTAATCCGAAGCTGCAACATTTTCAATTTTGTCGTTTTAGGCGATCTTAAGTGAATTAGTTTCTCTCTTTTTTATTGCCGCATCAGTTTTATTTGTGCCGTGTTGAGGCCGTAAAATGTCGCCCCGTACACATAATCAAAGAAGTTATATTTTTGACCCTTGGAGATTGTTTTTCACAACATTGTTGTTATGTTAACATGATATGTGGATTTATTTTTTGGTTCTTCTATTAGACTTTTTTTAACTTGAGTGGTCCTAGTAATCCTTCTTGAATACTCTATAATCGTCCCTAGGATATGTTGCCTGTTTTGTCTGTGGTATGCAGGCTTCATTACCTCAGATCCCCTTTTAATTTCTATTCATTTAATTCCACCCATTGTTTTCTCGTTTCGGGCACACACTTTTTATTAGGAACTATACGCCGCTTTTAATGGAATGGTACTAACGAGTCACATTGAAGGTTCAATGATAACCGTCATATTCACAGTCTTAATTCAAAGCTTCATAATTACCATGTTTAACTGTTGAACTCTGCTTGAGCCGGTGCTAGGCGGCGTAGACGGTAATTTGCACTACACCCTTGTGATATAATGCTGCGCATCTGAAATCACTTCTTAGGATATATTATTTCGATTCTAACACGACATCAATTTAATGCTGCCGTACCTGATATCAAGCTAAATTGTGCCTGATTTGTTGTCGTACTTATTTTCATTATGTTCTTTTATGACGGCCGGTGTAAGGAAAAACAATGCCATATGTGATAAAATGGTCAGTGAATGACCTTATTTATTTTAAACATAATGAATTATATACAACATATATCATTAACACACTTACAGAATTTTAAACATAGATAACTAAATACATGTACATCAAACATATTCTAGTAAGTTGATATTTAAACAATTTTGTGAATATCGTAAAAATGATGTTCCTTTAACATAAACAAATAAAAATGTGGAGGTTTTCTTTTGAAAATGGCCAAAAGATAGGGCTTACTGAGACCTATCTCCGCCACATTTCTTACATGAAAAATGTTAAAAACATAATATGTTTGATAATTAAAAAACATATGTGACTAGAGTAAATAGAAAAAGAATATCTTATTTATGTATCCGTAATTGCAAAAGACTTGAATATTGTCATCACAAATATTTTGTAAGCTTTGAAAAATATCCACTGCTAGAAGCTCCAATATATGATTTAACATATGTATGATATATATAGTGCATTCGTTATAAGGTACTAGCCCCTGCAAGTAGCTTAAGAATGGATCACCAAATGACGAGTTATGTATAAAACTTTATGCCATAAATAACCCTTTAATATTATCATTATAGACTACAAGTCTGTGAACATAAAATACTAGAATATTTCTATAACAAACATTTCTACATAGTTTTGAGAAATATCAACTGCAAGCAGCTGCAAAACGAATATTTACATGTATGATATATAGAGTACATTCGTGTATGCTACTAGCCCCTGCAAGTAGCTTTAGAATGAATCAACAAACTCGCAATGTATGGAAATAATGACCTATATCATCTTTTAATATTACCATTATAGACTACCAGTATGTAAATGACTAGAATATTTTCGTTACAAACATTTGTACATAGATTATGAAATATCATCTGCAAGCAGCACAAAAATAAAAATTTATTTATCTACATTTATGATATAAGAATAACTTCATCATAAACTACTAGCCCCTGCAAGTAGCTTAATAAATCACGAAGTATGGCGCTAATTATAGAAATTATTACATATAAAATCATTCATATAGGCTACCAGCCCCTGCAGGTAGCCGTATATGAATATTATAGATACTGCTAAGAAAAGTTTTTTATTAGCTACTAGCCCCTGCAAGTAGCTTTCATTAATGGTTTGATAGGGCCATATATGTATAGCCGATAGAATTATTCATGTTAATAAGGTAACTGGTAATTCTGGGCGAAGGTCATAATACAACCGGAAAATATATATTCGGTTGTTTTTTCAACACTCTGTTACTCTTATGTATTTGCGGAAAGCGTTACTATTCCATCTTCCTAAAAAACGTATTTTTGCGTCAGAATAACCTCGTTGAGCACAATCAGTGGCTTTACCTATTCTAAAACTATGTGATTTATACCTATCACTATTTATGCCACAAAAACTTAAAGTTGATTTGAGCTGTTTGTCAAATAATTTCCTGGGTACTGGTTGACCAGAGGGTAATGAAAATAGGGGGCCTGGGGATTGACCTCGAAGTGCAATGTAGTCATGCATCGCTGTAATAGCAGATGTCTTTGCATGACCATGTGAAAAGGTGATTGTGTGAGGTTTACCGCAGTTATGTTTGTAGAAGCGGTATGTTACTGACACAAATGATTGACCTGCTTCTGAAATAAAATTCATATCTGATAATTTTAAAATAAATGGCTCTGTGGATGGTTTGCACTTTGTGATTTCACTGCATCTTGCAAATGCGTTAAATGCAAAGAGAAACATGGCTGAGAACAGTTTCTCATGGAAGTAGGATTGACTTGTAATTTTTAAAGCTGCTAGCAGCTTGTCCAAAATTGTAGTAGTAATTGGTAGTCGGAGGTCATAAGACGGAGACAAACGTTGGGTACCTTTGATCAGTGTAGATATCAAAAAGTGTTTAGTGGGGTCATATTCTCCCGAAAGCTTATGGACATAGCTAATGCCTGAAAGGTAGGTACAAATAGACTTTGAAGACATTGCTTTTTGGTGTAGAAAACCCACAAATAAGGCTATAACTGAGACAGATATGGGAAGTGATAAAGGAGCTTCAAAGTATGAATTGCTAAATGTTTGAAAAAGAGTCCAACTTCTTTTGTACGTTTCTAAGGTGGATGGAGCAAGAGAAGCATTCAACAAATTTTCAACCCCTTGCAAAATGTCTGTGGTTGAAGCTGTGGGCTTATTTTTGTTGGATTTGGCTTGCTGAATGGTGCCAGCTGCTTGAACTTGTCTATCTGAAAACGAGAAAGAGCATCTGCTATACAATTATCTTTGCCCTTCACGTGCTTTGCTAGGAAGACAATATTTTGCTGAAGACAATGTAATACTAATTTTCTAATAAGAAACATTATACATGTGACCTTTGATGTCTGTTTATTGAGAACAGACACCAATGCTTCATTGTCTGTATAGAAAACGACTGTGTGATTCCGCCAAAGATGTCCCCACATATATACTGCAGTTACAATGGGGTATAGTTCTAAAAATGTTATATTTGCTTTGTGCCATGATTGGGGAAATGCTCCGTAGAACCAATTACTTTGGTAAATGCCGCCAAACCCCAGCGACCCCGAAGCATCTGTATGTAAGCATAGGCTATCACTGGATAGCCTTTTTTCATTGATGAAAAAAGAATTACCATTGAAATTTTCAAGGAAATTTAACCACATTTTCATGTCTTCCTTAGCCGAGTTTCTCAGTTTGACTTTATAATGTAACTTTTTTACTCCAATTGATAAGTTTATCAAACGTCTAAGAAATGCTCTCCCCGGTGAAATGACAGAGCATGCAAAATTAAGGAGGCCTATTAGGGAGAGAAGGGTTCGAAGTTGGCAAGATTGTTTTGAGCATAGATCTTGCAGAAGCATAGACGCTTTTTTGAGCTTTTCTTGTGGGAGACGGGCTTCCATGGCCGTGGAGTCTAAAGTGATGCCTAAAAAGACCATGCTTTTTGAAGGCAAGAAAGTTTTTTCCTTATTGAGTGGCACATTGAGCATTGCGCACATTTCGCAGAAAGCATTGAGTGAGGCTAAGGCTTCTGAATAAGTAGGTGCAAGGAACAAAAAGTCGTCAAGGATTTTTACTATATATCTTATTCCGAATTTGTTGTGAGCTATCCATTTTAGGGCTGTACTGAAAGTCTCAAAGATTTGACAACTGGATGAGGCTCCCATCGGGAGGCATTTATCATAGTAATATTCCCCCTCCCATTTAAAGCCGAGTAAGCTATAATCAGATGGATGTATTGGTATTATTCGGAAAGCTGAACAAATATCGGTTTTGGCCATATAAGTGTGTCTCCCTAGCGATTTAATGATTGATATCGCATCATCAATGTTTTCATACGAGACCTCTGTGAAATCTGAAGGTATTTGATCATTGACTGAAGTACCGGTATTGCGTGGGTATGACAAATGATGGATCATTCTATACTCCCCTTGTTCTTTCTTTGGAACAACTCCGATTGGGGAGATTTTAAGATTGTTAAATGGTTTTTCTGAAAACGGACCACTGATTCTATTAGCTTTAAGTTCCTTAACGATCTTAGTGGCTATTATCTTGGGGTATTCAGCAGCAGACTTCAAATTTGGACTGTCTGTGCCGATTCGTTGACCTTGAAAATTGAGTTTAAAACCTAGCTGAAACCCGTTTTTGATATATTGTCTCTTTGTATAGTCGTAACCAGAAAGAAAATGATGTAATATATTCCATTTAACTGGTGTGGGTAACGAAGAATTATCTTTTGAGGGAAGAGTTGGCCTGGTTAGATCTGATGGTGTTTGGTTGACTTTGTGGAGGTTTAGGCCCTGATTGAGTTGTTTCGGCTGGACGTTTCCAGCATTTGAAGAGTGGGTGATTTCCATAGCATCCCTTGCATTTATGTGCGTAGGAGCATCCAAAGCATCTAAGTCCCCTGTTGAATTTATGACAGGTTTGTCTTGACTGGCCCATTTGTGGGCCATTGGATAGAAAGGGCTGTCTCTGATTAAGTGCCTTTATATATAATTCATGGTGAATTGAGTCCCAAGCTAATGGATGACTTTGACGTAACTGGCGGAATTGATTGTCGTAATAATGCCAGTTACCTCTAGCTTTAGATATTGATCTTATAGTGTTACTGTACTGGGCGAGAGGTTCAGCAGACTCGGGATACCTTTGTCTGTAGACAGAGGCAAACACAGCGAACAGATCTGTCCACTGTTCAATTGATAGAAACTTCCGGGGCTGAAGAGGGGTTACGGCTTGAATGCCTGCCTTAGTGACAGTAATGTTGAGCAATTCATCCTGTTTGTTGAACACAGATGATAGATCAACAAATTCATTAGCCCATATTTTTTCCTTAACTTTTAAAGATACTGTTGCATGTAACGGGATAGATGGCGACGAATGAAGAGAAAGGTTCCCAGAAATACCAGTACCTATATGACCGTGTTGATGGTCAGAGTTAGAAGTTGAATTAGGCATCTCGGGCTGTGGCAATTCCAGTACAGGCGCATTTTGAGAAACATTTGTGTCTTTCCCCAAAATGTATTGAATTTTTTTATCAACCATAGCCTCCAGTTTGGTTGACAATGTGTCAACTATTTCTCCAATTTGTTCGACATCTATAGAACTTGTTGAAGGTTGATGCGTAGATGGGCGTCGTGACTCCTTGTTCCTTGTGTTATGGTGGGTGCTAGTTTCCGTAGCCACAGCATTGTCGTTTGTTTCCGTGACAGGCGTTGCCCTATTGTCGGTTTGTTTTTGTTTTTTGTTTCCTCCCCGTTAAGTTGAAGTCGCGACCCTTTTCCTAGATGGCATTTTTGTTCCTGAAATTTAAGTATATATGTTATAAAATTTAATGTAAGTAAAATCATGTCCCTTATATGATTACCTTATGAGGAATGCAAGCCGTATCTTAACTAAACTGGTATAAAAGTTATATTTGATAATGTGTTCAGGTGACTGAACGCGAATAAATAATGATTAATCGCTTAAACAATGTACATGTACAATTTATCACTTAAAATATTAACCGGTACAGTTAATCACTTAAATATGTACATGTATAATACTCGAAAAATATTATGAAATAATAGTTAAAATGTATGCAACCGTGTATGTGTATGACATTTACATGTCATGATAAAAATTGCAGTTTAGTGACTTGCATATCCACTTATAATAGAAATATAATAGTTTATTAAATAGATGAAAAATAAAACTTCAAAAGAAGTTGGCAAAACAACCACAACAAACAACTATAAACGCGGGACATAAAAATTTGGCTGTCACAACGCCAAATAAATTGGTATAAAACTAAGCAGTAAATAAAAAAGTCATATTCCAAGGACAGCGGTCTTGTTAAAATCCAAACATAAAGGCTATGGATATGAATAAAATAGCCATGTTGGCAAAATGTGACCACATTGTAATCAACCAGCAATAAATGCCCATATCCACAGAAATGTGGCTGTGCTAAAGTCAAAAGACTCGCAGAAAGGCTATAAATATAAACAACAAGCCATATCCACAGAAATGTGGCCGCGCTAAAGTCAAAAGACTCGCAGAAAGGCTATAAATATAAACAACAAGCCATATCCACGAAATTGTGGCTGCGCTAAAGTCAAAAGACTCGCAGAAAGGCTATAAATATAAACAACAAGCCATATCCACGAAATTGTGGCTTCGCTAAAGTCAAAAGACTCGCAGAAAGGCTATAAATATAAACAACAAGCCATATCCACGATAATTGTGGCTGCGCTAAAGTCAAAAGACTCGCAGAAAGGCTATAAATATAAACAGCAAACCATATCCACAAAACTGTGGCTGCGCTGAAGTCAAAAAGACTCGCAGAAAGGTTATAAATATAAACGACAAGTTTTCCAAACATAACTGTATATGTGCTAAAGTAAAAAAGACCCACAGAAAGGCTATAAATGTAAACAGCAAACCATATCCACAAAACTGTGGCAGCGCTGAAGTCAAAAAGACTCGCAGAAAGGTTATAAATATAAACGACAAGTTTTCCAAACATAACTGTATATGTGCTAAAGTAAAAAAGACCCACAGAAAGGCTATAAATATAAACAGCAAACCATATCAACAAAACTGTGGCTACGCTGAAGTCAAAAAGACTCGCAGAAAGGTTATAAATATAAACGACAAGTTTTCCAAACATAACTGTATATGTGCTAAAGTAAAAAAGACCCACAGAAAGGCTATAAATGTAAACGACTAGTTTTATCAAACAAAACTGTAACCACGTTAAAGTCAAAAAGACTTACAAGGCAAAAATATAAATCAGCAAAATTCCGTTTTTTTTTTTGTTTTTGTTTATTGTTTTTTCTTTTTTTTATAGAAAGATTATATATACACATATATATATATATATACAATGTATAATATAGAAATAGGTAGCATATTTTTTATATTGCCATAGTGTAAATATTCTGAACGTCACCATTGTCTTCAAATATTACTTAAGTCTAAGCATGGTCTGGTACAAAAACAGAAACATAGCATCGAATATACAGCGGTCAAAGCACATGTTAAAAGCCTACAAAAATTTCATAAATACTAAACTAGGCCAGCATGTTTCACCAAATCTACAGCTAATTGCTGTTAAGGCTATTTCTATGTTAGCCCTGTACAGTATGATTTTTTTTTATTTTAATATATATAGATCTATATATGCATTAGGCTGATCAGACAGTCTTTAATGGTCTAGCACCCGTTATCCCGTTCCTTTCACCTGCTTACATAAAAATCGCTATGCAAAACATAGCTTATATATATGTTCAATAGGGAAAGATGGGGCTGTGTAAGAATATTGTATTCAACACTTTTTTTGTACTAAAAATACTTTAATGCTTTTCAATTTATTAATGTGTAACGGAAGATAGAGTACTAATAACTGCTTTTGCACTAATGCTCACCACTTGTATGTATGGGATGTGTTTTGGAATATTTGTTGCAGGAAATGTGTCGGCCTTGCCAGAAAATAAACACGCACCAAAACATACTCTCAAGACATGTACACAAAGAAAAGGATATGAAATTAAATGTGAAGATTTTTTTCAAGGTAGGAAGATCCTGATATTTATTACATTTTGTCTGATAAATTAGATGCAACAATAGATTGGTTGATTAAATAAAGAAAATAAAAATAAAAATTTATGATATTCAAAAATATCTTTTTTGCCAAGCAAGGTTCGTTCACATCATGAAATAACTGTTGGCCAATTTCATATATAAGCGTGTTCAATTTATTTCACAACCTTTTTCACAGAGGAGACGAATGATGGTGTAAGCCTGTGGCCTCCAGGTCCTTACGTTATTCCTATGACACGCAATGGTTGTCCGGAATCATCTGTGCGTGGATGGCAGGAAGGCTACTTGGATATCACATGGCAAAGTCCACAATATCCGCATGTGCGAATAAGTGGCGATGGGAATTCAGTTGAAAAAGTTATCAACGTTTCTAAAGAACACTTCTTTGAAACATCAGATAAACACATGCTTGTTTCATCGAGCCAATATGAGTTCAAATTTAGCTTTTGTTATAAAGTCATAAGAAATATATCCGTAGATATTGGCTCTTGGCCCAATAGGGACTTCAGTATTTATGGGACAGAAAATCGATGCCCAGAAGGTAACCTTTTTATATCTTCAGAAGGCAAGCTTTATTTTATGTCCAAAAGGTAAACTTTAAAGATCCTGTTGCTACAACTCTTAAGTGAAATGTTATATTTGTATATAATTATTCTTCTAAAACAATTCCAAACATCCAAGAATATGTTAAATATGTAACGCAAATGTTTATCGGCATTATATGTAATCATTAAAATATATGCATTCATTTCTTTTTGAAAAATATGGCATAAGGAATGCCATAGTATATCAAATTGGCCTTTAATTGAATTGAATTTGGTATACCGCCATATTTGATTATTTTGCTGACACGTGAGTAAAAATATTGGTCGGCATATTAGCTGGACTTGTTTTTCGAAGAAAAGAAGAGGTAGTGTAACAGTCATGTTCGGGTTCCCGTTGCCGTGCTCTATTTATGACCTTGATCTTGCAGGTTACATTATCGAATTTTTACTGATGTTTGCTATAATCGACTGTAACTTGATAATTAATAAATGGATTATCTTCAAACTTGTACAAAACAATCTTTTTGGAAAAAAAACCTTCTAAAAGTTTGAACTGACTTTGATTTTGAGCTTAATGACAATGAACGTCAAGGTCAAATTATTTAATTTTGGTTAAATTGTCATTATTTTTTTGTTCACACTTAAAGATGTAAAACTTACCTTAGATATCAGCTGACCTAGATTTTGATGAAGAGACCTTTTTTACTTGTGTTTTGATGTACAGCTAAGGAATTTGGACCATTAGCACAGTTTTAGATTTAAAATTTAACGTTAAACATTTAGGAAATAATTCATACTTTTATTTAAATGAAAACTAAATTAAATCTTTAAATCGTTTTAAGATTTGTTTGCTTTAAGAAAAACTAAAAAAATCAAGCGTCGCCCCCGCCCGACGGTGGCACCTGTTTGCAGATATTTTACAGTACTGTATTTTCGTTCTTTTTTCACATTACTTTTGTTACACTTAATTATCTTATGAAATAAATAATAAGCATTATTTAATTTAACCATTGATAATTGATATGTCTTAAATAAACGTATCATTTTCATAAATGAATTTCAGGTTTCGTTCGAAGTTCTTCTCAAACAGTGTTGCCAAACATTTCGCACTGGGATTCTCACGGCCATTTACCGAATTTTGTTTTAACAAACAATGGGACTAATGGTTAGTTTGCAAATGTTAAACTATACAATAAAACTATTGGTAAAGAAACCTGATCATTAAAAGTGTTATTACAGTTATGTACAATAAAAAGTCTGAAAGAAGGGTGATCCCTCGGAAGCATTTATCACAACAAAATTACATGAAAATGCTAAATAATGTTTCACTCATTAAAGTGTTAACGGAGTTTTACAAATAAACATAGTACATGAATAGTTAACCAAAATGTATTCATAAGCAATCCGTAAGAATAAACTGAAACAGAAACGAAAACATATGCCGGAAAAGATTAGATTAACATAGAAAAAAATCTTCACTGTCACTATAAATATAGTCTGGTGATTCCTAATAATGTTTTAGAAAAATTGTTTTAATCATAATTTCCTGTACTGAAATTACGCTTTTGGGCAAAATACACATAATTTATGCCGTGAAAACCTAAAATCATTAGTTGAAACATTTGATTTATGTAATATATGGAGAATAATACATCCTTCAGATGAGACTTTTACAAAGAATTCAAACATATACGATTTAAACTTGTAATCTTTTTGAGACTTGATTCTTTCTTTATTTTAAACCGTATTGTCAATAGTTAAAAATTGAACATAAAAAACGTATTGAATGATATTTGTAACGAAAATGTGAAACAATTAATAAATGATTTGAAAGTTAACAATTAAAATACAAATCCTCAGATAATTTAGAAATTAACAAAAAAGTGATTTAGAAATTAGACTATAAAAGTTCCGTCTGGCAACGAAAATTAGGTATTAAAATCAAACAACCTGAGTGTTAGATATAGGTATTAACAAAATATTTTACTGAAAGTAAAAATAAAGTAATACAGTAAGATCATAAAATAAGCAAAATGAGCTAGAACAAACATATGAAATGCAAATAAATGGATACTTTGCCAGATTGAAATCACAATATATTGAAAACAAAAAATATCAAACTTTTGAAACAGAACAAAATAAAG